GCAGGATTGCCTCAATTTCATTTTTTTTTTTAATTTCCAGAGCTGGTTTAGGCTTGATTTGATCTAGGACCCACTTGTTTATCTTTCTGGCAGTCCAAGGTATCTGCAAAGATGTCTTCCAGCACCACATTTCAAACCAATAAGTTTTCTTCCTGTCAGCTTTCTTGTCCTGTTTCACACTTGTACATAGTGATTGGGAATAGTGTGGATGATCTTGGTCTTTGTCTCCGGTGACACATCCTTACATTTGGTGATCTTTTATAGTTCCTTCATGGCTACACTCTCTAATCATATGAGCATATCATTATTGGTTATTATTATAGATGAACTGGCACATGACTTGTCCATCTTGGGCTGGCAAGTATAAACTCTTGGTCAGCTGAAAAAAGTACTTATTTGAAATCTATGTTTATTTCAGATGAGTCAATGTGCAGGGTTAGCAGTTTTCAGTCCTTCATATCTTTCATTGCACCAATCACTCTGTTGAGGAATCTTGGACCCACAATAAAAGAAAACAGAAGCCTGCTTTTTCCAAGGAGGACATTTATAGGCATTTTGTAATTATATCCATCATGTATTGTATATCTGTTATTTATAGCATTTTCTAAGCATGCTAAAAAAATAATAGTGTTGTTGGGAAAAAACAGAAAAAAATAGTTGAAAATTGTAATACTACTGCAAGAGATTGCTACAGTAACTGTAAAACATAGAGAATTATTTTTAAAAAAACTGCACTGGCAGGAACTTGCCAATGGCTGAGCGAATGGAGGATTAGAATCTTTGAACTTACTACTAACATGTCAGAGGTTCCAACAAGGCAGGAGATGGTGTTTTACTCTTCCGGGTGGCAGTGAGGATTGATGGAAACCAAGGCTTCGTCTAAGGCACACAAGCACACAGAACTGCATTGGTTGTGTGCATCCAAGCATTTTTTTCACCCATGATCACAGATGGAATCCCACAGGCAAGGGATGGTGCCTCCATGCAGCGCGACAGGAAATTAGAGGAAACGTTTATGGAAACTGATTATTGTTAAAAGATTGCATCCTTCCTAGACGATTTCTGCATCTCACTGGTGCTTTCTGTTCCATCAGTTTGAGAACCAGTACTTTGAGATGCTGGAAAAAGAAGCAACTGTAAATTCGGTAAAATATCCAGATTAGCAAGAATACTTGGAGAGCTGTGGTATGTATTCTAAAGGATTGTTTCCAGGTGGCTCTGTTTCTGCTCCTGCTGCTCACCAGGAACAGAGCTGGACACTATACCAGTTGAATAACATTGAGTCCAGCTTGTAAGACACCAGCATACAAATAAAACACCACTTTTTATTCCACAGGCAAAGGGTTTAAAGCAGGGGTGTCCAACCTTCCCTGGGTCACATTAGAAGATGAAAATTTGGTTTGGGCAGCACATAAATTTGGTTTGGACCGCATGGGGGGGGCAACCCTAGCCATCCTCTGCAGCCCAGCTCCAAGCACGCTTACCGACAGCTGCGATCTCAGACAGCAGAGGTTGCCAGCTTCAATTCCAGTGGCATTATGGGGCCGGGAGGGGTCCACCTATTGACGGGGACGGCACAATGCAGTCACACAGCCCCCTTCTCCCCTCCCCTCCCGCTCCTTCCTTCCTTCCTTCCTTCCCTCCCCCCCCACCCACCATTGTGACATGCCCCAGCCGCATTCAGGCCGCAAGTGCCGGCAGTGTAACTTGAAACTTTGGAATTTCTTTAAAAATAAAAAATTGCAATGGGCCGCATTATGAGCCGACCTGGTCCGCATGCGGCCTTCGGGCCGCAGGTTGGACAAGCCTGCTCTACTTTGTTCTGTTTCCAATTACTGTGCTCAACGAAAAAGTACCAAAAACTTCTTTTTTTTTAATTTGGCAGGACAGTGAAGTGGCTTAATATAGCCACTTCAAGATATTGACTAATTAAACACGTCCGCTGCTCCTCAGCAGAAAGGCAGAGGAAGTGAAAAATAAACCTCCAGTAGAGCAGCAAAAATGCACTGTATCACTAATATTTTTCTTTCCTTTGTCATAAAGTGGATATGGCAGTAGTGAATTTTAAAACGCAAAAAGAAATATAAAAAGAGCATAAAAACAAACTGCAGTGCAGGAACTAAAAATTTCAAGACGAAAATTCTGAAACTAAATTAAGATTGGAGGAAAATATATATTCATACACACTGTAAAAAGGCTGCAGCCATCTTCACAGATTTAGCTTGCTCCACCGCCCCCCTACCGCCCCCTTCTGCTCCAGCGCCCCCACGCCCCCCCTTTTCATTTTACCGCTCCCCTGAAAAATGAAATCGCCTCCTGGGGGGCATTATTGCCCACGTTAAGAACCACTGGTTTAAAGGATAATGCTTATGGCTCCTATCTCACAAATTATTTTTAAAAAAGCAAGAGAGCAAAATTTGGAAAGTAACTTCTCCAGTGCTTTGAAATCCTTTATGGCAAGGATGGAACAGTTTTTGAGCCCCTCTACCACTGAATTTGCTAGTGGCATCAAAAACATGTTAATTTACCTTTAAAGCACAGAATGAGAATCCACCTGGTTTTTAAAGTTGCTAGCTTCAGCTATGAGCACTCCTGAGTTGACTTGACTTGGCAAAAGTAATCCATGCCTTAGTTACATACCTTGAGTACTGCAGTGTGGGTCTAACTTTGGGGTGATCCAAGATCTTCAGTTAATTCAACATGTGATAGCTAGGCTGCTATGTAGTGCACAATACAGTATCAAGGCCATATGGCTTGATACCGAAAGACTTGCACTGGTTCCCAGTTGCTTATTGGACCCAGTTTAAGGGTAGCTGTTTTAGTCTTCAAAGCTGTAGTGGCATGAGGATCTGACTATCTAAAAGATTTCCTATTTCATTATGCACCTGTCTGAGAGAGAGGTCTTCTTAAAAACACCAGTAGCTCCAAAGGTCAGCTGGACAGACATGAGGGAGAAAAATTTCTCTTGTGTGCCTTCCAGATTTTAAAAAGTGGTCCTTTCTCAGTTGTGATCTGTGTCCACTCCCACTGCTTTCAGCAAGGGTTTGAAGACACAACATTCAAAACTAGTTCATGATAATACTCAGTGTATTTGGATATTTTTAGTTGCTTATAGCTAATTAGCCTCACGGGAATCAAATTAATGATTATTTAGGAGTTAGTCATTATTTGGTTTTAATGACTATTGCTGAATCTAGCTTTGCTGTTGTTTTTATTGTGCTTTATGATTTTAAGCTGCCTTGAGCACTATCTATTTATGGAAATATGTGGAGTATAAATGGACTTGAAGAAACCGAAAAAGTGGAAGATTTTGTATATCTTGGTGCAATCATCAATCCAAATGAAGACTGAAGCCAAGAAATCAGAGGAAGACTGACACTTGGAAGGGCAGCAATGAAAGAATTAGAAAAAAATTATCAAGTGAAAATATGCATTACTAGAAATCAAGACCAAGATCATCCACACTGTTGTGTTCCTAATCACTATATATGGGTGTGAAAAGTGGACAGTGAAGAATGCTGAGAGAAAAATGGATTAAATTGAAATTTGGTGCTAGAGACAGTTTTCCAAATACCCTGGACTGTCAGAAAGATAAATAAGTAGATCCTAGAGCAAATCAAGCCTGAACTATTTCTGGAGGCAGCACGAAAAGAGGAAGACCAAGCATGAGAAAAATCGACTCCATAGTTTACAAGAGCTGAACAATTTGGAGGTGAATTGATGACCCATAACATCAGCATAATAATTATGATTAGAGATGGAGGTATTCATATTTGTATACAAATACAAGTGTCCCCATGCAGCTGGACGTAACAAGGCCCCTGTGGCTGGCCTGTGCACTCATGCATCCAGCAGTGGCAGCAGCCTCGCTCTTCCTTTCAATCAATCCCGGAGCTTCGCTCTTTTCCTGCTTGCCTGGCCACTCCAAGCAGTGGGAGGGAGGGCGAGTCTCCCTGATGGCTGCTGAGTGGCCAGGCGAGCAGGAAGAAAGTTGAGCTCTGGGAGCAATTGGAAGGATGAGCGAGGCTGCTGCTGGATGCGTGACTGGATGGGCCGGCCACAGCGGCCAGCCCCTCGTTAGGTCCAGCTGCACAGGGATATTCGTAGACGAATACCCACATCTCTAATTATGATAATAGGATTTTATATAAAGCATACAGTATAATGAGAGAAGAATTGGTTCCAGATTGCACATAATGCTTTTGCTTTGATTGCTTGTCAAAGTAAATATCCCTGCTGGCTTGAACCATGAGCTAATAAAAGACCACTCTTATGTGAGAGAGCTGCACTTAGGTATAACACAATGTTGCATTATACATGAGCCAGAGACCATAGTTAATTCCTCCAAACAAGCAAGAGTTTTAATTTTATTGTGGCCCAGATTTGTTTATGATTGTAAAACTTAAACATTGTTCTGTCTTTAATTTGTTTAGAGAAATTTGGTTATTGCTATTCATTTAAAGGAAGAAGCAAAACAGTAGGAAACAGTTTATGAGTGCACTCTGTTCATGGACACCCTGGTTTATTAAGCCAAGATCTTCTTAACTATTTTTTTCTGTGTGATGTATTAGTGTTTTTTTAAAAAAAAGGATGCATATAAATGTTTTTCATTTTTAAAACAGGAAACAACAGTTAATTTATATTATATATAATAAATACATTGCAACAATATACCATAATTACTAGCAAGAAATTGTAAGAAGACATACAATGTGTGTTTCAAATGGGGAGAAGAGATGAGATGTAGCTAGCCTTAATCATATATATCGTTTCATAAAGTAGGGGACTGAGGGATACACAATATCTTGTTGCTCTTAATAAAATTAATAGATATATGCGAAAACAAAAAATAAATTATCTGTAAATTTCTGAAGTTTTGGATTCTGTAGCTTGGCCTTCCTGTGAGAACAAGGTTGACTTTTTGTGAAGCATGTCAATTTAAATTATTTTATTTTTGTTTTTATTTGTCATTCAGTGTATATTTTGCTCTTGCTTTCTAGGGGTTTAGGTGGAGAACTAATGAGACCAGCTGGTATGTTAAATTACATATATTTGTTGGCCTTTGCTCCAAGGACATGAGTTTATTATGTGTTTTCTGATCAATCTTACACATCTTTGTTTTATTCTAATACAGTAGGACTGCTGTATCTGTAGATCAGTACCTGCAGTTACCCTTATCCATTGCCTGAAAATATTAAATTCCCCTGCCCACAGAAATATGCATTACCAATACGTATTACCAGAAGTGACCCCTAGAGGGAACCAGACTATGCTAAATATAGGTTTCCTCTAGCCATAATTTCCAGCTTCTGCAAGAGGGTTGCTTGGAATCAATTCCCTGCAGATACCACTTATTTCCAAAATACACTTATTACAGTAGTGTAATAAGTGTATTTTGGAAATAAGTTCTGTATGCTCTTGGAATCTGAACTCAGCTTTTCAGCTGGTCTGCCTTTCCTTCAGTTTGTACTCATTGTCATTACTTTGTCATAATTTGTGACTTGACCGGTCTTCTTAACCTAAAGAACTTTCTGTCCAAAAAGATTATTTTGTTTCAGGTGAAAATTAATGCTCATATAAAACATAAATAAGTTCCAGCATGGTGGTATTCTTTAGCAACCTTCAGTAAATCATAACAACCTTGAATAAACAAGTTGTCTCTCTTGGATGGGTCTAGAGCAGTGGTTCTTAACCTTTGTTACTCAGATGCTTTTGAACTGCAACTCCCAGAAACCCCAGTCAGGACAGCTGGTGGTGAAGGCGTCTGGGAGTTGCAGTCCAAAACTCCTGAGTAACCCAAGGTTAAGAACCAGTGGTCTAGAGAGTTACAAGTACTTCAGCAGTATTTGGATGTATTATGAAGGCCTTTGTTATAGGCTAAAGAAGTGAGCTCAGTGTCTCTTTGTAATAAAAAGATGTCATTGTCTCATCCAGGTTTGTCTGCAGTTAAAAGTTTGTCTGAAATTAAAAGTTTCAGAAGTCAGGTTGTTTCCTGGTGTATTTGAAATACATATGTCAGACAAAACCAAAAGAAAAAAAAGAAGATAAAAACATTTTGAGACGTTAAAGACTAACTGCTGTATTTTAATGTGAGCTTTTGTGGCCAAGTCCACTTCCTCAGAAAGAAGAATGGGATTACACAGACACCTTACTCCAGAAGACTGTCAGCATTGATCTGGATTTTGGCTGTGCCCTGTTCTTCGTAAAATCTTGTCCTCCTATTGATCCAGAAGCTGGAGCAATAGGAGGATGGAAAGAGTAGTGTGTGATGTTGCCTGTTTTATGAAGCACATGATCGTGGAGACTACGCTTCCCATCATTCTTTGTTTCAAAGCACCTTCCCAGGAAAAGGAGCAGATACTGCAAAGAGCCAGCTCTTCATTCAGAAAGTGTAGCTCCCTCTGTTTAATTATAAGTAACTTAAGTGTTGGCGAGTCCAACAGTTGTATTGAATCAGCGAGTGAAATCTGTCTCATTTATTTTCTTTTTGTTTAAGTAGTTTTGCAGTACATTTAAGGATTAAATGCTATTTAATGAATTAAAAATAAAATATTTTTAAACAACAGTTAATTCATTATGAGCAGTGATTGCATTTATAGCTTAATACTCAACAATCTTACTGTAATGAAATTAAAATATTAATCCCCGTATATTCATATTTAGTAAACTACAGAAAAATGTCCTCCTTTTAAAGGTTATTTTTGTCCTCAGTGCCCTCCATTTTAGTGCTGCCAGTCCTCCTTTTTAATGATATGTCAGTAGCCCTCCTACTCAAAAAAAAAGTTTATTCTGCTATAGTGCACATATGTAGGCTCCTGCTGAAAAGATACATTTGTAGAAGTAGAAATTTTCCCTGACAATCAAAGACAACGTATGTAGAAAGCTGAGGAGTCTCAGTTTCGACCTCTGTATGCCACTTCAACAGACTGCTCCATTGACAAGTTCTGTATAACACGGGACTAGATTTCACTATACAATAGCATACAGCTTCCAGAGACCTTATTTTGTGCCATGATATTTGTTATAATGTTTTTATGCTAGTTAGTAAATATATTTCCTGTATCCTACTACGTAGCGATTTTAATAAGATTGTTCTCACAGTGTTTGCTGAAGTTATGACTCTGTGTTTGAATACATATTGGTTGTCCTGTTCCTGTTTAGTGCACCATGTTAACACAGAATTATACTTTTTCCCTGTGTTTTAGTCTGCACTTTGATTGAAAAGTTGTCGCTTTCCAAAATGCCGTTTAGGAAAGATCCCATAATTGGTATGTTATGTTTCTAATGGTCTACATTTTCTTGTCTTTTAAATAATGCGTTTTCATTTAAATTCACAGTTCTATTTATCTCATTTGCAAAGAGTATGGCTATCTCTCTGTGTGTGTGTGTATTTGTGTGTGTGTTTGTGTGTTTCTGTGTCATCAAATCGGAACAGACTTATAGCAGCCCTATAGAAATAGGGCTTTCAAGGTAAGTGAGATGTTTAAGGAGTGGTTTTATCAGTTCTACTTCCCCAGTCAGTTTCGATGGCCAAGTGAGCATTCAGACTCTGTTCTCCAGAGTCCTAGTCCATCACTCTATCCACTGAGAATCATGGCTTTTTCCCTCTTAACACTGAATGTTCCTTAGAGCTGTATAATTTCTTCTATGTTGTATAAGTTCTTACAGTGCTGTATAAGTTCTTCTGATACTAATCATCTTAGTATTTTAGTTGTTACTTCCTGCTGTCACAGGCATCATGATGCTGTGATTGCATTTTATTTGCCACATTCAGTATAATTGAAAGTACTATTATCAACAGGATGCAGAACTGGAATCAAGGGGTGGTGGAAGAAATGAAGATGGTGTAAGGTATTAGAAAGGTGTAAGAAGTAGTGCAATTCTGCTCACATTTCTTGAATGTTCTGTGCATGATCCTACACTTCCTACTGCCTTTATGTCTTGGGACATGATTGATGGAAGCTACTTTTCTATAACACTTAATGGCCAAAATCCTGTTGCTTGGCATAGCAAAGCACACAACAATAGAACCACTGATTCTGTGGGGTTTTAGTGAGTGAATTCCTCTAAGTTCTGTTAATTCTGATGGGACTGCTCTGTAACTTAATTTAGCACAGTAAGTCACAATTAATGTAGACTTATTTGAATCAATGGAACTGATGGAGGAGTCGACTCAATAAAAGTATTACATTTTATGTAACTATTGTACTAACAAATGCACTTTCTTTTCCATCAGATGGCTGGCAGTGGCTGATAAATGACAGTTTACGGTGTCTCCATCTGGTTTCAAGCAATGCAAGGCATCAAATAAAAGTATAGTCACTTAATCAGTTTTCTTCTTTATTTTATTGATCAAAATGTGAGGAGCCATTTCAGGAAGAAGAGCACTAGGAACAAGGCAACAGGAGCAGATGAGTTTCACCAAATAATTTACACAGTGGTAGAACCTGTATTGTTCCAGGAGTAGAAGTACCAGAACTGAAGCTTTATGTAACCTGGTCCTCTGAATATTTCCTGAAATCCACTGTAAACATTTGGGAAAATCATTAGCATTTCTTCTGTTTGAGGAGATCCCTACTTTAAAAGTGTGTGCTTATGTGAAGAGCCTGAGGTCTTTGCTTCTTATATGTGTAACCAACAAGAGGCAGCTTGGTGTTCTGAGGCCAACACCCTCTTAAATGGGTGGTCTTTCAGCTTCTTTCACCAGTTCATGAGCAGGGCATGTTCCTTAGTGGTCTTCTCTACGGAGGGCAACTCATCTGTTGCTGAGGGACCAAGTCTGCTAGCTGCAGGAATGTATATGGTGACTACATGGAGAGTTCTGCTTCAGAATTGTTCTCTGAGGATGTGACTTCTGACTCTGGCACAGATATTACAGATGTGAGTGCTGGGATACCCTGAAAATCTGTGCTGGGTTTGTGGCTTTTTTAAACTTGTCTATAAATGATTTGGAATTAGGGATGAAAAGGCCAGTGAACTAGTTCAAAAGAATTTTTCCAGTCTGGAGGAATGGTGATTACAATGGCAAGTGCATTTTAGTCTCACAAGTGTAAAAATATGTCCAGTGGAATTTAAAACATGCTTCATATGTAAACTGATGAGAGTCTGAACTGGTGGCTGATTCAGTAGCTGAAATCCTGCTGGCGTAAATTTATTCCATGCAAGCCGGATGACCTCAACATCTGGCAGTGGACATCCTTTGATTAAATTAAAAACCTCCTATCCCCTGCTTCAGGTTCTAAAGCTCCCTAGCAATCCTTTCTTCTTTGTGGTGTCTGTGAATCCACACAAATGGATTTTACTGCACCTGTGCAGGACTTCTCAGAATATTCTAGAGCTTTAAAAGACGTGATTAGTAGGACATTGTCCCGTGGCTCCGCCTGTCCATAATATCTCTGTTCCTTTTAGCTGCCGCTGAATTTGGACTTCTGTAGCGATTATTAGAGCGATTTTCTCACTTTCTCAGTCTTTTTTTTGTTTGTTTGTTTGATCTTACGGACTGCCTTACGTTTTTGATTCCTGGATTACAGACTTGATCAGTTTTTAATTTACAGACGTTTCCCTGTGAGTTATTTTTTTCATCTTCCCACCCACCTTCATGACCTTTTTATGGCCTCTTCAGGCCCATCCAAGCATTGTATGACGTGTGCCAATAAAATAACTTTTTCCGATGGCCACGATCGTTGTTTGTTCTGCCTTGGCAAAAGTCATCAGACCCACTCCTGTCCGGAGTGTAAAAAATTAACAAAGCTGGCTCTTAAACTCTGACTGCAACGACTTTGGTCCCATTTGTGGGGGAAATCCTTAACAACCTCAAGGCACCCAACCAGCCCCATTATGGAGCCTACCTCCACTCCAGTGCCTCAGTCTGAGTCTTCTCACCCACCGGCTCCAATTACTCCATTACCAAAGGCCTCTACCAAGGCTTCCAAGCTGAAATTCCCCTTGGCATCAACCTCGGTGTTGAAGTTGTATTTGGCTTCGGCTATGGCCAGACCTAATAAGAAGCAAAAGGAGAAGGACAGAGCTAAGCAAAAGAAAGCTAAGCAGATTTCTAAGCCTCATCACCCTTGAGAGCTTCTGGTCATTCAGATTTTTCTCCCATCTCAGAGGAGACGTCTACATATACCAGACCAGGACTACATTTCAGAAGCGGGAGAGTCAGTACCATTTACTCTGCTATCCCCATCATCCCCGTCTGGCTCCCTTTCTCGACAAGTGGTCCATTATCACCAAGGACGCTTGGGTACTCTCTATCATACAACACGGCTACCTGTTAGAATTCACCAACCTCCCTCCACTTGGCTCTCTCAAATATACGACTTACTCACCTACCCTAGAGAATGAAATTTCTCTTCTCATCCAGAAATACACTATCCAACAAGTACCTTCCCAAGATGTTCTAAATGGTTTCTATTCTATACATTACCATCCCCAAACGTGATAGAGGCCTTTGCCCCATCCTGAACCAGCAACTTCTCAACACCTACATCCATCCAAAGTGCTTTTGCATGGTCACCCTGGAATCCGTTATCCCACTGCTTTTTCCAGACGATTGGTTTGTGATCGTATTTCCGTATCTCCATTCACGAACGTCACTTCAAATACCTTTGTTTCTTCTTTCATGGACAGGACTTACCAATTCTGTGCCCTCCCCTTTGGGCTGTCCACCGCTCCAAGAACTTTCACAAAGTGTATGGCTCCTGTGGCTGCCTACCTTTGCCTGCAGAACACCACAGTCTTTCCATATACAGTATAAATAATTGGTTGATAGTAGCAGGGTCATACTCCGCAGCCCGAAGGGACTCTGCCATTGTTCTTCAGACTGTGGCAGAACTCGGTTTGCAAGTCAGTTTCAAGAAGTCTCATCTCAAACCATCGCAGACCATAGACTGCATTGGGGTGCATCTCGATTCAATCAAGGCCAGAGTTTTTATCCCTCCCTGATGGATATCCAAATTGACAAGTGCTATTCGCCATTTCCAACCTCATGCCATGGTTTCTGCTTGGCACGCACAACATCTCCTAGGCTTGATGGCCTCAACCACTTCCACGCTCCAACATGGGAGACTCAAGATGCAATCTTTGCAAGCCTGGTTCCTGTCCCTGTTCAACCCCCTGTTAGATCATCCTTCAAAACATCTTGTCACTCTGGAGTTCGCTTGCCAACTCACTTGGTGGACCTTCGTCCCACACCTTCTTGTAGGCCGTCCTTTTTGACCTTTTCAACTGACTGTACAGGTCATGATGGATGCCAGCCCAATAGGATGGGGCACACACTGTGGCAATCACGAAATTCATGCTCTGTGGTTCAACTCAGAAAAGTTACTGCATATCAACCACCTAGAAATGCTGGCAGTCATCAAGGCTTTCCACTCTTTCCACCTCCTCATAGCTGGTTGCGAAATCCAGGTTACCACATACAATATCACTCTGTATTATGTAAACAAACAAGGGGGTACTCATTTACTGGCTCTCCTATACCTTTCAGTCCAGCTATGGGAATGATGCTATGACCGCCACATCTTCCCTGTGGCTATTTATATATCTACAGAGGACAGCGACGTTGCTGACCGTTTGAGCCGTCTGACCATCCAAACCCACGAGTGGGTTCTTGATGACTCTGCCTTCCACCATTTCTGCAACCAATGGGGAACACCAGATCTCAACATTTTTGCTATCCAGACCAACTCAAAATGCAGCAGCTACTGCTCTTGAGCGGGACGCGGCGTGAACTCCCTAGGCGACGCCTTCATGGTAGACTGGGGCAATGTCCTGCTCTACCTTTCCCCCCCAATTCCTCTTATCCAGCAGACAATAGTCAAGCTCTGCCAGCTATCAGCCAGTGCCATCTTAATAGCACCATGGTGGCCTCGACAACCCTGGTTTACTCCTCTCAGGGCCATGGCAGCCGAAGTCCTGAGACTGCCTTTTCGGCCACACCTACTGACTCAGAACGATGGCCGTGTTTGTCAGCCCGACCTGGAATCTTTACACCTCATGGCGTGGAGAATCCCCCCGGGGGGGGAAACCCCCCCCCCCCCCGTCATAGCAGAGGTACTGGACAAAGCTAGGAAACCCTCTACTGAATTGTTGTATTCCTATAAGTGGAATGTTTTCTCTAGATTTGTTGCATCAAGAGGTTTATCAGTGGTTCCTGTTTCGCTGGGTACCCTCCTCATGTTTCTTCGTCACCTGTTTGATCAAGGTTTGGCCCACTCAATGTTAAAAGTTTTTATTTCTGCAATAATATCCTGTCAGCCTATTGGATCTGAGGTCTCTCGTCTATTTTCCCATCCAACTCTCAAGATGTTTCTTAGAGGCTTGCGGAACATTCGCCCACCTGTGCGACCTCCACTCCCTCAGTGGTCCCTCCAAGTTGTTCTCTGTGCTCTCGCTTGGCCTCCTTTCGAGCCCATGTCTTTGACACATCTTAAATTTTTCTCCCTCAAAACTCTTTTTCTTGTAGCTATAACGTCTGCACGTCGAGCAAGCAAACTGGCCGTCCTTCGGGTTAACACTCCTTATATTCAGTTTTATCCAGACAAAGTTGTCTTGTACCCAGATGTCACTTTCCTCCCTAAAGTGATTTCAGATTTCCATGTTAATCAGCCTTTGATTCTTCCAACGTTGTTTCCATCTCCCTCTTCTGATATTCAGCACATGCTCCACTCCCTCGATGTTCGTCAGTCTTTAGCATTTTATGTTTCCAGGACTAAGGATTTTTGCATTTCTCCCAGACTCTTTGTGTGCTTCCATGGCCCACAGAAAGGTTCTCTGGCCTCTTCACAGACAGTCTCGAGATGGAATGTCTCTGCCATTACAGTGGTGCCTCGCATAGCGAGGTTAATCCGTTCCGGATTAACCTTCGCTATGCTGAAGCATCGTTAAACGGTACAGAAAAGCCCATTAGAACGCATTAAACATGGTTTAATGCGTTCC